TGGGTTGGAGGCTCCACTCTGACCCTCGCTGCTGCAGTGCCTCCGTATAGGGCTTGCACATCTGTCCTAGGATTTAATCTTAAGTGTCCGCAGATTTCACTGCTTTTGTGAATGGGGTTTGCCTCCTCGTATGTGTTCTAACTGGTATTGCTGCTTGGGAGAAATGCTGCTGGCTTTACTGTGCTGTCCTGTATCCAGCAGTTTTGTTGAAGTGTCATATGGTTCCAAATATTTTGAGAGCAGATTCTGTTGGATTTTCCATATAGACAATCATGTCTGCGATTAAAGACCATTTGGGCTTTTTCTCGCCATTCTTTCCCCATTTTCTGTCCGGTCCAGTTAGTTCCAGTATGGGGTAGAGTTGAATATCAGTGATGACCGAAAGCATGCATCTTTGTCTTTAGTCTAGCAATGCTTTGAAAGTTCCACTATGAAAACTGATGTTTGCTGTTGGGTTTTGATAGATGCCCTTTCTCCCCCTCCCTAGTTTTCTGGGAGAGTTTGTCAAGAATGAGTGTCAACATTTGTCTAATGTGGGTGTTTTTGGTTTAGCTAATTGCTTTGTTTCGCTGTATCTAATGATATGACCATTTTGCTTTTTACCTTTAATCTATTGGAGTGAGTGAATTAAATTAATAGTTTATCTTTAAACCATTCTTATATTCCCAGAGCAGACCCAACATATGCATATGTATATGTAAAGCCAGATTTGTTTTGCTAATATTTTTATTTGAGTTTTTGAATCTATGTTTAGAAGTCAGATTGGCTAACAGTTTTCTTGTAGTTTTCTAGCTCCAAGCCTCTCCCCATGCTTAAAAAGGGGCACTGCTCTATCTAAAATTGCAGCCTTAGCCGCAATGTTTCATACCCCCTGCCCTGCTTTACTTCTGTTTCTGTAGTGATTATCACTAATATAGCATTTATTTTACCAACTAGTCTTCGTGTTGTTGGCTTCTCTCACTACAGTGTCAGCTCCACGGGGCAGGGACCCTTGCTTGTGTGGTCACTGCTGTGTGCGCCCCCAGTGCCTGGCAGGCAGCAGGGGCTCCTGCAGTAATTGTTGGATGAATTAATGAATGAATGGATGACTGGGGAAGCCTATCAGCAACTCAGGGGGCCAGCCCCTCCCCTTCCCTCCCACACGGTGCCTCCCATAGTGGGCGGGGCAGCGTTTCCGCCCTGGGGAGGCGTGCAGGGCCGGCTTGGGTGAGTGTCTCGGTGGGTCAAGCCAGGGGCCATAGTGGGCTACAGGGCTACCCCACGTATCCCTCGGGGAACCAGAAAGGCAAATCCAGTGGGGCTGTTGGAACCGTGAGGGCCTTGGAGAGCCAAGGAAGAGGGGGACTGGTTCATACCAGAGGGCAGCTGGGCCGGTCCTGGAGCAGAGCCTGGAGAGGGGGCACCATTGCTGTGGCCGGGCTCTACCTGCTGGCCTTGCTGCAGGGCCTGAGAACTGCTGTCCTCGAGGGCCCCACGGCGGTGCCAGGGATGACAGGCAGTGTTAATCAGCACTCGGGTTGCAAGTGACAGAGAGCCAGTCCAAACTGGCTTAGCGAAAGGGCAGCACAAACCCAAGCCTCAGAAAGCGGGCCCCGCCTGGAGACACGTGGATCCTGGGGCTTGAACTGCTTTGGACCCAGGCTGCCTCGCCTCTGTTTCCCCCTGGAGGTCTCGAGTGGCCTCATCCCCTGCCGCTCCCCCTTTGCTGCAGGTGGACTTCTCTGGATGTGGGGAGACCACGGCCAGCAGCAGGTTGGGAGTCACATCTCACAGCATCTTGGCTGGAGCAGGAGCGCCCCTCCCGACTCACCGCAGTCACAAACCCCAGCCTGGTCACCTGCCCACCCCCAGGCCAGGCCCTACAGCCAGGCAGGTCCCATCTTTGGCCTGCCCAGGGCCATGGTGCTTAAGAATGAGACTGAGGCTAGAAAAGATGTCATGAGAGCCTCAGCCCGCCTCTGGTCTAGCCACAGCTCAGTGGACTGTCGCCCAGGCCCAGGTCACCCAGGACCCCGGTGTCCTGCTGCGTTCTGCTCCCGGGCCTCCACCTTCGCCGCTGGGTCTTGAGCCCACGCAGCCTGGAGTGCGGGGTGTTAGTGCCGCTTGGGGACGCCCTCCGCTAATTTGGAAGGAGAGTTCCTGGAGAGTTGCTGCTACCCCTCCCTTTCAGGGATCAGCTCTGGAATCTTCTGTTCACATCTCAGTGGATTGGAGTCCCCTTTCCCTACAGCAGGGACCAGTGATGCACACTTGGTTCCCCTCCCAAATAAACTGCCTGCACCCATGTGCTTTCCAGGCTCTGATTTCCAGGAACCCACACTCAGCCACACTCGGACAGGGCCCCATGGAGGTGGGGGAATCTGCAGCAGGGACATGAGGAACAGGACGGCCCTCGGCAGCATGGGCCTCAGGTCCGGAACTGGAGTTTGGGGTCAGGATCCTGACCCAGAGAGACTGGCTGGAGAGGAGCTCCGAGTGGTCACTGAGCCTGGGGCACTGGATAAGGCACCAAGGCCCAGGGAGCCACAGGGGTGGCCAGTCCCACAACTGGAGGCACTCACAGCTGTCCTTGCAGCATGTGATGAGCACCTACTGTGTCCCAGGCACAGAGCAAGCTGCTTCACTGGCACCTGG